TCAAGTGCGTATCTTGTAGACTGATATGGCTATAGGCTCTGAGCGTCTTCAAAATTGTTATCTTGGTCTTTGTGGTGATAACCGGTGAGTCGTACCCTGCATGTTGTTGACAACTTGGCATTGAATGAAATCATGCAAATAACAGGCTGGGTCGTACTCGGCGGGCACACTCGCATCAAGGACCCACACGCGAACTTCCGCGATGCATTCGCCGGAAGCTCGCATAGCAGCAACGATGTACGCCTCTTCCACAAGCATCCCACCTGACGAGCTGACTTGGATCCTCTAGTATGCCACGGCCACCTTCAAAGTGCTCAACGCCTACGCAGGGTGGTCCAACGTCAATTACGTCCTGAACGAAGTCAAGAACCCCGTCCGCACGCTCAAAATCGCTGGTCCCCTGGGACTCGGCATCACAACGGTCCTCTACATGATGGCGAACATCGCCTACTTCTCGTACGCCTCTTCCCCGTTTCCCGCCTTGCGCGTGTGTTGTCTCTGCGTGGATATTGACGTGTAGTGCCCGTCATCAAAAGCGCCGCGTCGAAGCAGCAGGTCCTCAAATCCGGCGTCACCGTCGCCGCGCTGTTCTTCAAAAACGTCTTCGGCACGAAGGCGGAAAAGGCACTGTCTGTCTTTGTCGCGCTGAGGTGGGCTCGCAGTTTCTTCATGGAAAAAATAAATACGTATGCTGATGACGTGTGCGCCGCCGCCAGTGCCTTGGGGTAAGCTTGCCATCTTCTCTCGACCTGCAGGGACTTTGCTCATCGCCATCGATGATCGCTCGTTTTCATTCAGTGTACGTCTTCTCCTTTGCCCTTCCCTTCTCTTGCTCTTCCGCTTCTTGCTCTTCCGCTTCTGCTTCGATATGAAACATCGCATCTAACCCTTATTCCGCATCTCCGTTCATCTGCAGAACGTCATCACGATCGTACGTACCGCGCTTTCATGTCCGAGGAACGTGGCCGCTGAGATGAAGCCCTTCCTTCCATCAGACCTTCGCGCAGTCGCGCGTGAACCAGGAACTCGCGAAGGAGGGCATCCCGCTGCCGTTCGGGAACCGCTTCTGGGCGTCGAATTGGCCGACGGGCAAGTCGCCGCTGCCGGGTCTCATCATCCATCTCATCCCTTCCGTGCGTTTGCCTTTGCGTTTGTTCGGATTGGTTGTGGCTGGTGGAGGCTGATGTGTTGAGTAGGTGATTGTGATTATCGCGCCCCCGCCGAGCGTCGCGTACCCGTTCATCTTGGACGTGGAGGGATACCCGAGTCAGATCATCAACTTTTTCATCGTGATCGTGCGTTTCCGCCTTTGCCACCGACCGCGTCTCCGCTGATAATGGGTGGTGGGACAGGGCTTATTCTACCTCCGATTCACGAAGCCCAACATCAAGCGGCCGTTCAAAGGTGCTGATCGTCTCGTGTCTGCCGTCCGTCTCACTCACCACTGACTTTGCTGGACATATCAGTCTGGTGGCCCATCGCCGCGTTCTACCTCGCCGCTGCCGTCTTCCGTGAGTCTCCAGCCTCCTCCCTCACAGTCTCCCAGCTATGCCTTATCTCACCATGTGTTCCACGCAGTGCTCGTCGCGCCGTTCCTGCGCCCTTCAAATGGCAAGGGCGACACCCCGCCGCTGCCGTACTACCTGTACTGCCTCGTCGGCATCGCGATCATGGTCTCGGGCGTGCTCTACTGGGCCGCGTGGCGCGTGCTGCTCCCGCGCGTGTTCCGGTACGAGCTCGAGCCGCGGAAAGAGTCCCTTGCGGATGGGACGGTTGTCACTGTGGTGCGTAGTTCCCCCCGTCAGTTGTGAGATGCGCGTGGGTATGTGTGCTGATGGGGCTTGGGTTGCAGTTCTCGAGGAAGAAGATCCAGTAGGTGTAAGGTGCTTTTAGGGGTGGGAGCTCGAGTACTGCTTGGCTGGTTCTTGGGAGTTGGATCTGTGTCTCGGGGGCTGCGTAAATTATTATTGCATGTAATTGTCACTGCATACCATGTTTGTCTTGCTATCACTATACCTTTCGCACCCTCCTCGGTAGCGATGCATACACTCCGCGCTCTCGGAGGCATGAATGAGAGAGCCTGACAAGCCTGATTAGTCGAGCGAGACTTGTCGAAATTTGCGCACAGCGCATCACGTGTGGCCTTTTGCGGCGGAGAGGCGGGCGCTTAGCCACGAACGCGCCTTGAACGCGACCTGCTTGTCCTCTGCACCCTTTTCCCTTCGCATTCTCCTTGTTGTACACTATGTCAGCAGGTACCGAAATGATTTTGCTTGAGTGTGCGTTTACTGATGGGTGGTTGCGATGCAGACCAGATTGAGCTCACGTCGCCGCCGTTGGACAGTGTGTCCTCTCTGCGCTTCTCACCCTCCAACCCAAACCATCTCCTCGCATCTTCCTGGGATACTGTGCGCACAAAACCTTGATTTTGGGATCGGTGACTGATATATAGATTGGGAGAACAGACCGTCCGGTACTATGACATCGCGGCGAACGAGCAGCGCGCCAAGTTCGACCACCGGGCCGCGGTGCTAGCCGTCGCATGGCAGGATGGGGGACATGCATACAGCGGGGGCCTCGATACGGCCGTGCGACAGTATGTCTTGTGCATTTACACTGTCTGTGTGCGTTCGCAGCTGATGTAGGCCTCCTAAGTCTGGATATTGAAACGCAGCAGATCCATGGCCTCGGACAGCACTCAGACTCTATCTCCGCCATGAACTGGTCTACCGAGCGCAGTGCGTCTTTCTCTCCCCTCTGTTATCCAGATGTACTGAACATAAGCTCCTAGATGCACTCATCACCGGCTCCTGGGACCGCACGATTCGCTTCTGGGACCCGCGCGCGGGGGACAACCAGCACGAGCAGTCCTCGCACGAGCTCCCCGAGCGCGTGTACTTCACGGATCTCGTCAACAACACGCTCGTCGTCGCGATGGCGAGCCGGCTCTTCCATATTTACGACATCCGCAAGATGGACGCGCCGGAGCAGACGCGGGAGAGCAGCCTCAAGTTCATGACCCGCGCGCTCGCGTGCATGGTGGACGGCAAAGGTGCGTGCGCATCCGCTGCTTATCTCCCTCTGACCTTGCGTGCTGAGAGAGTGGGCGTGGGGATAGGCTATGCGACTGCGTCTGTGGAGGGCCGCATCGCGGTCGAGTACTTCGACCCTGCGCCCGAGGTGCAGGACAAAAAATACGCATTCAAGTGCCACCGACAGACGATCGACGACGTCGACCACGTGTGGCCCGTCAACTGCCTCGCCTTCCACCCCATGTGCGTCTCCTCTTCCCCTTGGCCTGAACAGCGACGCTGATCGAGATGTAGCTACAACACGTTCGCCTCCGCCGGCTCAGACGGCACCGTCTCCATCTGGGACCACAAGGTCAAGAAGCGCCTGCGGCAGTACCCGCGCTACCCGACTGCAATCCCATCCATCGCGTTCAACTCTGACGGCACGAAGCTCGCGGTGGGCGTCAGCTACACGTGGGATCAGGGAGAAGAGGGTGCGCGTTCGGCGGAACGGCCGGGCATATATATTCGCTCGGTGGGCGAGGAGGTCAAGGTACGTCAAACTGTGAATGATCTGGCTTTCTGTCATGCATGCTGATTGATGGTGGGTGTTCGTGCAGCCGAAGGGTTGGGTAGATAGCTGATCGCGCGGTTTGTTGTATGCGGGAACCCGCAAATTGGTATTCTAGATTTCGTGCGTGGATAATAGGAAGTATGTGGCGCTGTTCACTCGCGGTGCGAGAGAGATCTGAGCGTTGTGTTATAGGGCATGAGGTACGTTTAGCGTTCGAATATTGTTTTGAATGTCGTACTCTTATGCAGGGTTGGTTGGACGGTATTTTTGTTGCGGTATAGATGTCACTGTAAGCAAAATTATTTGTCGCTACGGTTTTTGACTTGTGCCATCGGTGTATATTATTCAGGAACTTTATCGAGGTACACGCGCCCTCATGCACTTTCCGTGAAGCTGAACGTGCTCTCGCGGGACCGTAATCTTCCAAGAGGATCTGACCCTACTCACGGTTTGTGACATAGTGCAAGCATTTGATGACAATGAAGGCTGCCAACATGTGGTATTCTATCTAGGGGTGCGCTCAGGTGAAGACGTTCAAGAGTAAGGCACCAGTCGGCCGCCAGCTGTATTTGCATAAAGTGTAGCACTTTCGTCGCCGGGATAGCTCAGCTGGGAGAGCAACAGACTGAAGCTCTTCGTATAGAATTGCCTTCTGGAGGTCCCGTGTTCAATCCACGGTCCTGGCACTCGTAGGCTATATTCGCTTTTTTGTTGTATGTGACGTCGTAAGACTCGCATCTGTCGGTAACAGTAGGTCAACAGCGGCGGCGTCCCCCCGTCCATCACCGCAGACTTTTACATTCTGATGGATCTGATTCGTACAGTCGAAGGCTGGCACAGGCCGCTGGCACTTCTCGCATGACTATTTTTCTAAACATGTCGGCTACTAAATTATCGATCTTGCCAACGACGTGCTTGCCGTCGCTATGGCGCGCTGGCGGGTGCGTATTGCGATCCGTGCTCCTGGGCTCTGCATGTGGCTAACACGTCGCCAGCTAGATAAACCGCGTAATTGCATCTATCGTGCAAGATCGACAAAGGTGAGCACTGATGGTCTGATTCGTGCCGGTCGCCATGCTGCCCTACGTGCGGAAGAAAAGCGGCATGCCATAAGTGCAAGCAAGCAATTGGCGAGAAAGTAATACGGATATGCATATGGTTCGTCTCCCGTTCTGAGTGTGCCGATGCCGAACTATCAGACACAGATCTAGGGATTATGAATGCAACGGGTCAGGCGGCTAATGGTTCAGCGGTCTACGTCGTGGTGCGTTTTAGGACCTCAGGTTCAGTCTCGCTGCTCAAACTGATATGGACGTGGCTAGGACATATTCGCGTCGCGAACTCTCGTCCGAGGCGCCCAATTATTCCAACTGCACCATGCTCACGGCGTTTGAATCTAGACAAGCCTCTTCGCCGCCGGGATAGCTCAGCTGGGAGAGCAACAGACTGAAGTGAGTAATCATGAATGGTTTTCTGGAGGTCCCGTGTTCAATCCACGGTCCTGGCATGCAATCGTTTTTTGTCGAGCCCCCTGGGCACTCTAACTCTTCGTGGGATTGGGTCCCGGTCCTGGAGGCAAAGACGACAAGGTGTGTTGCTGTGTCACGATATCGATTGGTTCTGTGGTTCAAGATTTACATCCTCATGGTGTTCAGTGGACTCATAGCTAGCTCGCCTGGCATCCGTTGATGTTGCCTCCAATTGTGAGTGGGAGATAGCGATGAAGTACTTGCCACAGTTTCATTTGATGTGGTAGGTATCTTTGGACACTCGGAAGGTGCGCAACATGATCAATACAAACGGCTATTCCCCCTTGTAGCCGGGATAGCTCAGCTGGGAGAGCAACAGACTGAAGTCGGAGAGAAAGAATGGCTTTCTGGAGGTCCCGTGTTCAATCCACGGTCCTGGCATTCCTTTTGCGACTGCCAACGCATTTCTCTTTTCTCCCGCCAGTGCCACACGTCGCCTACGCCCAATCCGTGTTGCTACATACATGTTTCATTGGATCGAGAGGAATATACTTCTCCCTGCTGATATCGAATCGTCCAAAATCATAGCAATACATTCATTGTGGATAAAAGCAAGCTACATAGCATATCACATCTCGGTGATGTTCAAAGCAAATACAGTGCAAAACAAAGCAATACTGATGATAACGAAGCAAGAACCGCATAGCATGGGGGATATCAAGAAAGCAAGTGTGTCGCGCATGAACGTAGACAGAGTATCATGTGTCACTGGGGGTATAAAGGATCGTTGCGGGTATACGGTGTCGCTTATGCGAGACCTGTAGTGGCAGCGTTAGGGACCTCACGGTGAAGAGAGAAGGAGCGTTGGACTTACGGTGGAAGCGGAGGAAGCAGCAGCCTTCGTGGCTTTGTAATGATGAACGGCTCATCATCGGGCTGCGGTAGTGAGACATGTGTAAGTAGCCATGCACTAGGATATTTGAGATAGCCGAGCTTACCAGCTTGCGCATTGCGCCCACCTGATATGCACGTCAGTGCCATGAGTACTTGAACGGCAGCGAACGGCGTACCTGGGGCCTCTGCCATTGGTTCTTGAAGTCTTTGAGGTGCTCCAGGTCTTTCAAAACAGACTTCTTCTCCAAACGGTCGGACTTGCTCAGTCTTGCCTTGCTTGCCCGATACTCGGCTTTGAGCCTCTGGTATTCCTGTTGAAAGATTGCGCATCGAGCGATCGAATTGACGGTCATCCGGTACCTGCGCAAAGGCTCCATCAATATCTTGCACGTCCATGCCCCAAGTTGATGACGCGTACGTTAATATGCGCATGAGTGCGCCGGTCGTGATAGTCGGAACGTCGGCTTGAAGTAGAAGTCACAGCGGTGGTCAGTGTAGATCCGCACCAGAGCTGATCACATACTTAGAATCTCCACAAGGGGCTGGAAACGAAGTCAGTGATGAAAGAGTAGACATGTTCAGAATGACGTACTACGGTCATAGCTGCGCCTTCACACTGCCGGTCCTCCCAGGTGACCTCGTGATCCATGCAGGACGAGATGGAGATCTAGAGGAAAGCACACGTCCCCTGTTCAGTTCACAGAAGCACAGTGCAGGGGTAAGACGTACAACGATGGCACCCATGTGTGGTGCATATTGGCATTTCCGGCCGCATATAAAGGGGTTCTTACCCCGGACGATGGTGGTGCTGCGACGACGCCGGAAGCGCAACATGGCGATGACGGCCTTCAGCGCCGCTTTAAAGAAGCGGGCGTAGGAGTTCACCGCGGTGGCGACAGCAGCTGTAATGATTGAAAGCTTGGTATCCGGCTTGAGAGTCGAGGAGCGGCGCGGCATTCGGTTGATCTGAAGAGGCGAGTAGTACATTTCCGATAGATTGGCTGAAAGTCAATGGTGAGTTTGTCTTCAAATGCAAAGAAGGTGGGCACGAACTGTGTGAGTGTCTTCGATTGTTGCGGAAGTGACAATGATAGTGGTCCAAATCTAACAATGTCCCCGAGTGACATGCGTCTAAGATTGCCTGGAGGGTTCCGTCACAAGTGAAGATATGAGAGCGAGGCTCAGCATCTAACAAAAAACGAGGACGTACCGTCAGACGGCAGCCACGTGGAAGCGGGTCGACGAGATGCTGATGAACGAGCTGTGTCAACAGACAGTCAGCGTGACGTCGCAATGGCGGTATGAAAGGACGCTCGATCAACCTACATCATCTCGCAATGCCTTATAATCACAACCAACAAGAACTATGGATTTTGTTCGGACGCGTATAAGACCACGTCAACTATAAGAAAACAATAAGTCTAACATTCATCAAGGCCATCGTCTTCATTGGGATCCACTTTCGCCTTCTCTTGTCGCGAGTGCCCCGTGTCTGAAAGAGTCATGATGAGTGGACCGATCGCCGATCGCGGCTTGGGCCCAGAAGATCTGTGAAGGGACCCACAATGGAAAACAAATACGTCTTCCGGTTGTGCACCATGTACGAAGGTTTGGATCGCTTTGAGCTAGATCGTGGGTTAGCCCCGGGTCCACGAACACAGCGACCATAGCAAGAACGAGGTGAAGGGTTGTCGGGCACGCACGATGTTGTCTCGCGTAGGCCAGAGTTCCGTCCCGATTAGCGTTGGGTCCGCGTCCGTCATCGTCACGATATCTTCAGCACGGAACTCGTGCCGCCCTGCAGCGTGGCGTAGCCGATTAGTACGAGCCAAGTGACGTAGGAGCGCACAACGCACCGACGAGCACCTGGCGCATCTTGTGCACATCGTGCCGCGGACCCGTCAACTCTGGATATTCTAACGATTGCTGTCTTGAGTACGTTATCCCAATTAGCAGCGCCTTCCTGCGTCCTGATACCTGCTCCAGTCTACCGGCATGCCACGGAGAGACATTCATGACCGGCAGCTGGTCGGCGCAGGAGGACGGGCAGGGCAAGGCGAGTCTGAGGGGTGGGGGGGAAGTAGGAGTCACGTATCGCTTTTCCGAGCCATAGCATATGTCCTTACTTATATTATGGGGGCAATAGTGTGAGACCAGCCATGTACGCCTTGCAGGGTGTACAGCCTCGTTGTACATACCGTGCCCGGCTCCGCAGCTTGTATACCCTTATTTGAGCCTGACGAATACCCGTGTGACCCCGCGCCGCGGGTGCGAGGCGCTCTGGATTTTCTGGAACATGAGACATGTTATGAGTTGGAATGTTCGATGGTAGAGCGCGGACTGGTGACCCTGGAATTTGAGATTCGGAGGCAGAGCACTAAGCAATGGGCTGGGAAAGCCTGACGGGAAAGGAAAAGGTTTTGACTGGGTTGTACACCCTGCACGGCTGAGTGAAACTTTTGATCTTCGCCCGAAATGTAGACTTGAGGGAGAAATGCGTGCGAGGCGGTGGAATGGGCATCACTTAGTGAAAGCCGAGCTGGCGCCTGTGACTTTCGGCGTCGGGGTCTCGAACGTACTTCCTTGATATCGTCCTTCCATACAGAATATTTCTATCGTCCTTTCATTGAATTACAGCTAACCCAGGAATGCTATGCTTATGCGACTATGTGCCACACCTCGTAAATATGAGGCTGTCGGCCCCACTCGACCTATCCGAGTCGCTACGAAGTAGATCTCGAAATACGTAGGATTGTTAAGATACATGTCTCGTTCTTCGATATCCAAGCTTCAAGTGAGATATGCCCGTTTCTCACTGGCAAATGTAATATGAGAAGCGAGACAAACGCTACATGCAGGTACTGCGAGGTAGATATACATCTGCATCGTGCCCCGCGCTCGAGGTGCGCTGCACATGGGCAACACATCCGTGGTTCCAGGACGTCCACAGCCGCATTCATTCGCGGCATGATACCCTTCCAAAGTGGGCCTTGTCTTTCGTTCATGATGCAGGCGACGACAGCAGTGTGCAGCCCGGGAGGCGTCAGCGCCTGCCTGCACGACAGTCCAAAGCTCCGCCGTGAGGGCCCGCGGTTCCGTGGAGATGCACTCGCAGAGTCCTTGGTTGAAGCTCGATGTATTCGGAATAGAACCTGACACACAGCCCACTGCTGTGTCGAGATACTGTGCACGGGTTCCTGGACCTAGCGAGGCTAGGTTAGAATGGCAGGCCGGCGATTTCAGGAGATGAAAAAATAGATATTGAGGGCCAATGTGACGTCTCACTGCGTTCTTTAGCAGACGGTGCGGGCACGAAGACGCAGCCCCTTAGGCGGCGCGAGTTCTAGAATAATGACGAGGCGTAGAAGCAGGGTCAGATGCCGGACACCATGAGCAGCGGCGATGCGCAAAAAGAAGGCGAGCGAGATGCAGGAGAAGTTGTCAATGAGCGATGAGGGGGCAGAGAATCGAGGGGGGTTTGACACTAATCTCATACAGAGGAGAGGAGAAATGTGAGTAGTATTGATGCACATGTGTATCCGCTTCTTAATTAATGCTCTTGTAGGCAACTGCGTAGTAGAATGTGGGGGGCGCGACGGACTCGGAGCTCTACAAGAAGGGCGCTTAGTTGCTCGTGGGCATTGATAATAAATCTCCTTGGCTTGACAATAAAAAACGCCCTTTGGAAGTATATTTTAAGTTAGAAATAGCGAAGGAGATATCCTGAAGAAGGTTACGAACCTGCCTTGCCATTCATAGCAACGATGACGCGGACGCAGGTTTCTTCTGCTGCGGCAGCGACCTTTCCGGTATGTGCATCCTAATTTAACGAAATCCAATCGCCTGGTATTGACACTGTTTCCGATATTCGTCAGTATCCACTAGATTGTACATACCTCGCGCTATGGTACCGGAAGTTGACCGTACTAGTCACGGTGTTGAAGACCATTTCGAGTCTATAGTCGTCCGGGGATGAAACGCACAAGGACCTCGGGTATATGACACACCCAGAGAATGAGATGGTCCTTCGATTTCGACTCCACCAGGGAGTCTCTGCCAGCGCTGTTCTATGGAAGGAAGAAGGAAGGCGCGGCCAGGATTCAAGGAGTCGACGATCGCAACGTCCCGGACCGGGCCTCCCGGGCCGCTCTCAGCCCGACAGCCCAAGGTCGGGCCCATTGACCGCAACCTTTACTTCTACCAACTGGACACTGTTCGTTGCTGCCGGTCATCTCGCCTCTACGACTCTACGGCACCACAGCTTTATACCTTTGAATACACAAGCATACTACTTGAACGGAGGTTCGCCAGGACGACCTCATGCTGGCTTCTGGGGACGTCGGGGAGTTTTCTCCCGCATCTGATCCCAGTCCTGGCTAGTCCATGAAATCTCAAGAGTAAGTCTCGAACATACTCGGTTGGTGTCTGTCGCAGGTTGCGCTGATGCGTCGCAGCAGAGCCAGGTCGTGTTGCGAGTTTCGACTCTCGCAGGCGTCGCGCGCTGGAGGTATTTCTAGTTGCTCGCACGGGATTTGCCCGTTTACCAT